CTTCAGGTTTGGCGGGAACTTGTATGATTGGGGAAGACCAGGTATTTGACATTGGGATGGGGGGAGGGGAAATGTGTCATTAAGCAGCTTCAGAGTCTCCAGGTTGTCCAATTTGGCAAGATTATCGAACAAGCTTGAGTCTCCATTTGCAGCCACAAGTGTAGATAACTTCCCACGAATTCCTAACTTCCTTAGACCAGGAGTTCGTGCCAATATATTTTCTTTGCAACAATCAGGCAAAACAGTGGAAATGGTCTGGATGTTTCTTCTTACAAATGGATCCTCATTATCCTTCCGCGTTTTGGCTGGAGGACCACGTAAACAGCTCAACCCACTGGTGTACAAGTGTTTGAATTGGGACATTTTCCATATATCCACTTGAATGTCAAGCTCACGTGACTTTGTTCTGACAATTAGTGTCTCGAGGTTCCAAAGTTTGGAGATTGATGCAGGAAGCACCCTGAAATTTCCTGAAAGAGCTATATACCTCAAGTGAACTAGCTGAACTATCTCATTTGGAAACCTTGGAAAATTGATATACTTTAAGTCCAACACCCGTACCAATCTAAATGCTTCATGGAGGAAAGATGTATGTTCACGAAGCAATTCCATTTCTTCCGAGGCAAAACACAAGAAAGAACGGACATTTGGACCAAAAGGTCTTGAAGTTATGAAGTCCAGACAATGTGAATGCACGCAAAGACGACGATGATATTTGGAAATCGAGCTCAAAGAATGATTCTGAGCAGATTCTTTGAACACCTCCAGGAATTTCTCCTCTGAACCCATTTTTACACTCAAATCTCGCAACATATCATGAATGCGACAACTCTTAATTCGCCCATTGGCCCTCTTCTTCGCGACTAAAACTAGATTTCTGTCAACAAGATCCTCAAGATATTCTTCTGCTGTATCCTCCAAGCATTCTTGCCCCATTTGCTGTATGAATCCTTCACTAGTCCACAATCTGAGTAATTTCCACACAGGAATTTCAAAGTCTTCTGGAAAGACTCCGAAATAGATGAAGCACACTTTCAAGTGATCAGGTAAATGCTTATAACTCAGTGCTAGAACATCCATGCATTGCTTTGGATCCCTAGCAACATACGAACTAACATCATTAGCAACTTTCTTCCACCAGTCACGTGTTTTTTCTTTCTTTAAGAGAAGACCTGAGACTACAACAATTGCAAGCGGTAGCCCATAGCATTTTTTGGCAATTTGTAGTCCAATATCTTCTAGCTCTAAGGGGCAGCTTCCTTTGCGGAAAACCTTCTTTGAGAGGAGCTCCCAACTTTCTTCATGAGTCAGAAAGCCTAAATGGTGAGGGAGACCTTCAGGGTTAGCATGCAATGCGACCTCTGTGTTTCGAGTTGTTAATAATATTCTGCTCCCACTAGCTGTCTTTGGGAAAGCCATTTGGAGGTCATCCCAAGCCTCCATTGTCCAAACATCATCAATGACAACAAGGTATCTCTTGCTTCTCAAATGACTAAACAGTTCTCCGGCCAATTTTTCATCATTCATTTTATACATTTCATCTGTGATGAGACCTAAAGAATCTAAAATTCCAAGAAAGACCTCCTTTCGACTATACAGCTGAGACACATAAATCCATGCACGGTTATAGAAGTGGAATTCAACGGAAGGATCAGTATAAACCTTTTTAGCTAAAGTTGTCTTTCCCAGGCCACCCATCCCGACAATTGAGATGATCTCTAACTCCTCTGACCCATTGGTAAGTCGACTACTTATTTTCCTAGCCTCGTCATCAAAGCCTACCACATTTTCTTCTTCCACCATCGGAACTCTCTTTTGTGGTGGACTTCTACGAGAGGACTCTCCACCATGTAGGCTTTGAATCCCAAACATCTTCTTGTCATAAATCTCCTTCACCTTCACCTTGATTGATTCAATTTCCTTTGCAACATTTCGAAGCTTTGATGAGTGATCAAATACGTGCAAGGCTCTCCCGACAGTGCTCCTAGCCTTTTGCATCGCTGCATTAGTCACGAACGTGTCGATTATATCCTCTGCCTCATAAGCCACAATGGTGATTTGGCTTACCAACTCTCTGACATATTCATACTCACTCCGCTTCTCCCGAGAGTCCTTAAGAAAAGCTTTCATCAAACTAAGCTCTCTGTGAAGAGACTCAACTTGATCCTTTACTCCTGAAAGCAAATCCACATGATACAGGAGTAGTTGTTTCAAATTTAACAAGAGAAATTCGACGACAGCATCAGCCATCTCTTGCTTAAGTGCTTACTCTTCCTAAAGAAATCTGAAAGTGCAAGATGCTGAGAATTAATTTTCAGTCTGAGCATCAATGAAACAGATAACACAGATGTATTCTATTTGTAGGAACACAAACAATTAGTAGTAGATTCGGCACTTGCATATATAGATATGACAACGAACAACAACAAAAAACTCAGTATAATCCTATAAGTGGGGTTTGGAGAGGGTACTGTGTATGCAGACCTTACCCCTACCCCTACCTTGTGATGGTAGGGAGGATCTTTCAATAGACCCTCGACTCAAGGAGAGATGAAAAAGAAGCAGTAACAACAGCAAGATAGTAAGATACACATGTATATGGATACGGTGTGTATAAAATGATTTTTGAAATTCATTCGTGATAAATTTCAATTGTTCAGTGCTGCAATAGTTGGCAATTACTACATTACTCAATTACATGGACCAATATTGATGCTCTCAAACAACAATTGTTTCTCCTCTATACAAGACTCGAAACTAGAAGAAAATTTTGGCGCATAATAATTCGAAAATTTTCCTCGGAAATCTAAAAGTGCATGACTCACTTCCCATATCAATAATCCAACAACAATAACAACATATGCAGTGAAATCTCATAGGTTGGGTTTGGGGAGAGTAGAGAGTACACAGACCTTATCATTTACCCATACCTCGCAGAGATAGAGAGGTTGTTTAAAAAGACCCTCAGCTCAAGTACAACAAATCAAATAACTATGAAAAGGAAAAACAGAGTGACAAAAAACATGACAACACTTCCTATACCAAAACAACACATATTTCTCCTACATACAAGCCTCAAAAGTCTAAGAAAATTTTGGTTCTTAATAATTTGAAATATTTCCCGGAAATTCTTAAGAGGACCTTTAACCATGATTTTTTTTTAATGCTTTTTCCCAAAGTTGAACTCCGGAAAACACGTTTCGCTGTATTCACTTTTTTCACTAAAAATTAGTCAAAAAAATCAGAACTACTCCAATTTGTATTTATAGTCTAATTCAATTCCAATTTTCAAATATCATTTTCACTTGAAAACCAAAAACTATTTTTTTTCAAATACTCACAATTTTCATGGCCAAAGGCCTCTAAATTTGGGGAAAAGGTCCAAATTGCTCAATTTTATCCTTCATTATACCTCTGAAGCTCAGACTATTTTTTTTAATCCCAAAATTGCAAATAAAGATATGCTAAAAGACTGTTAAATCATAGTAAAATATGCTGAGAAAATAATAAATTAAAAAGAAAGGAAGAATCAGAAGACTTACCAGTTGTTTGGTATTAGAAATAAGTTTTTTTTTTCTCAAAAGCAACTTTTATGAGAAAAAAATTGAAACTCAAAATATGGGAAAGCAAGAATTTCAATGAATTACATTATTAGATTTTTTCAAATGTTTTTTCCCAGAAATGCAATGAAAGACTTTGGGTTCTTTTAAGTCAACTTTAGGGGTCGTTTGGTACGACAAGAGTAGATATTGCCATAAGTTATATCAGGATTAATAATTAGTATCGAGGAATCAAAATATTTTTTCAATTCATTTTTATTGATTCACTATTTCAAAAATAGATTTTTATTTTTATTTATTACTTTTAACGGATCAAGAAAAGACAAGTACTTTTTAAAACTATGCCGGTTATTTAGAATACAACAAATCAAACCGTAAATAAAAAATAACATTAGAATAACTAACCTCAACATAATTTATTTTCAAACCAAACGATGCATTGATGTTTTACATGAATAGTTCTGCTGATTATGTTTAGCTAATTAATTGAGTGAACGATTATTTAAATTTTTTTTAAAAAAGATTATACTTCCTCTGTCCCAATTTATGCGACACTTTTCATTTTTCGAAAGTCAAACAGTTCAAGTTTGACCGGGAATTTGCGCATGGAATCTTTAATTTTTTTGAAATGAAATTTATATATTTGTAAACTACGTAAAAAGTACTATAAGTCACAATAATTAATAATTCAAAATGTTTAAAAGATCTATAAAAAATTTACGGTCAAAGATAAACTTGTTTGAATCTCGAAATCCGAAAAATGCCACATAAAATGGGACGGAGGGAGTAGTATGTTATTGTAGATTTAACTAATTTGGTAGTTGACCTCGAAAAACTCAAAGTCCATTTATGCTACTCTTTTTTTCCCTTATCTGGTACACCATACTTATATTAAAGCGCAACTAATTCAACTTCACGTTCTATCGAGCCCATTCAAGTGAAATCCTTCCTATTAAAAATTATTTTTTTATTCAAAACTTAAAATCGAGATCTCTAGTTAAGTATTTTAGTTTGATTGAACACAGTTTAAGAAATAACCAAACAACATTGAATCTTGTAATCTTAAACTTATCAGAAGTAAGACACTTAAATTGCGATGAAGGGAGTATCACTTTGAAGTTGAAGCTGGACCTGCAAAGCAACCAGGAATGTGTGTGTACACAATTTTTTATCAACTTACAAAGGTGATCCCTAACCATAAACCACTGAGGATCTCTATAGTCTATATTACTGATAACATGGATCAGTGAAATTATTCAAAAGTCAAACTCAACAATAACAACATATTCAGTATAATTCCAAAAGTGGGGTCTAGAGATCTGCAGAGAAGTTGTTTCCAAATTCTGATAGACCCTCAACTCAAAAGCTAGACTCGGACAACAAAACTGATCTACACAACCACAACGATCATCTTTGTCATTATCACTCGATATATCTACCTTATTGATTTCCACCACCAGATCCATATTTCGTTCCGAAGAAAACGAGCTGCAGTTTATCATACCCGGCTAGAACACCGGCACCGGCACCAGCAACAGCACGAAGGATATTAGCTCCAGTGCCTTTGAAGAGCGACTTGGTGCCTTCTTTCTTCATTATCTGAGAAAATGCATCTAATGAGCCCTTATACTTGACTGCTTCTCCTGAAGTCATCATCATTCTTCTACGCACCGTATCAATTGGGTAAGACGCTAAACCAGCACCGATAGTAATGCCCCATCCGAGCAAAAAACTCACAAAGAAACTGTCCTGTGAACACCAAAAATAGCAATGGCGTTAACATGCATAAGGACTAATCACACATATGAATCTAAAAGAAATGCACCGTATGTTGCTTTGGACTCTTCAAATACAATGTTGCACTCATGTCGACTCTGTAAAGATATGGCACATGAGCCTAACTCGACCCCAAAAGGTGGTTCATAAGGAGAGAATTGTCCAAGTCTATAGAAGCAGATTACTGGTTCATTCCCCAACCAATGTGAGACTTTGAGGCACTCTACCATCCTGCTTCATGTCAACTGGAGCATGGATTGAGAGCCCAAACGGGAATAGACATGGCTCTGACTCCATGTAAAGATATGAATGACATGACTCAATCAGAGGCGAATCTAGGATTTTTCGAATATGGGTGCACCAAGAAAAATGTATTAAGTGGGAATTGATTCTCAGTTCTCAAAGTCAAAAGCTCAACATTTAACCACGTGGACCAACTAGACTTTTTATAGTACGGGTGCAAGAATATAATATTATACAAATGTTAGAAAATATATACATAAAATATCTAATTTTACGAGGAGACCACGGGTTTGGGTGCCCTATTTTTTGCACCTAAATTCGCTACTAGACGCAATCCCTAAAGCTAGCTCATAAAGGGAGGATTGCAACGTCCATTTCCCAATCAATATGGGACTCTAACGGGATCCTCCAAAGATGCATTATTTTTGGAGAATCTAACATGCACCCGTTGACACTTTTTGGTGCATTGACATTTTCAAAAAGTAAGAGAAAAGCGCATCCGAAGGGAGGGGGGATCCAACATATGGAATAAGGGAACATCCATATTAGGACTTCATGAAATAAACAAGCACATAGAAACAGAGTTCAGATTCTCCATACCTGCAGGTTACCAACCAGAACCACAGGTTTAAGCGAATCGTAAACTCCAAAGTACAAACCACGGTAAACAACTATTCCCACACACGAGATGATGAAGCCCCGGTAAAGACTAGGAATACCAACAGATTTGATGGTTTCCGGTAAACATCGAGCAAACCATTAAACTGCCTCTCACCACCCTTTTTCGCAGCCTTAGCATCATTAGCGAGTCGCGTTCTGGCATAGTCCAACGAGTACACGAACAAAAGGGATGAAGCACCAGTAGCAGCACCAGATGCTAAATTTCCTCCAAACCACTTCCAGTAGCCATCCCTTTCTTTATTGAAATTAAACATTCTCTTAAAGTGGTCTCTAAAAGCAAAATTCAAAGCCTGCAAAAAACAAATCTGCAGTGTTAACAGTAAGGAAACAAAAATGCACTACTTCTAGAGGATCCAAACTGCACCCGTGCAATTTTGAAGTCTCCGAGCAACATAGACTATACAAACAATAACATACAGGATGTAATCCCACAAGTGGGGTCAGGTGAGGAAAGAGTGTTTCCAAGTTGTTATCGAAAGACCCTCGATTCAAGTGCAGCAAATCAAAATACTTTTGAAAAAAAGAAAATACGACAGTGTAGAAAACATGTTAATTAATAAGTAAAAGCAGTACAGAGCATTCAGCCAAAAAAAGAACAGTAACAATAGCGAAATAATGTGGTAACTGAAACACAATAGATAACAAATGGTAACAATTATCAAAAGCAAGAAACTAAATGTGCAAGGTTAATACTACGACAGACACGATGCTAACAGACTCCCAAAAAGCCTAATCCCGCTGAAAAGCAAGACAAAACTCAACTACCTACTAACCTTCTACCTTAATCCGAGACCTCTATATCCTCCTTTCCAGAGCAACATAGACTATACGGATCAATCAACAGAAAGGAAGGGTCAGTTATTAAACCTGTGTTGGGAAATATCTGATGACATTTGCAGTATTGCCTCTCCATAGAGAAAGGACACCTTCATCCTTGATAGTTCTTGTAAAGCAATCGGTAATCCCTTTGTACGTATCTGAGAGTCTACCGGATTTGATCATCTCATCCTGATTTTGAATCAAAAGCTTGACTCTCTCAATCGGAGCAGCAGCCGTCTTAGACACAGCAGCAGAAACTCCTCCCATGAGAAAATCCACCAAAAAACTGGTCATTTTCTTCTCTAACGGAGCTTTGGGTGGAGACTGTACAAGAATAGGAGCACACGATTGCTCACTAGCTTGACGAGTCGCCACAAAATGACCCTTAATTATCTCATTGACATATCCATCCGCCATGTTTTAAGATTGATCGATGCAGTGACCTATAAATTAAAGAAAATGAACAAATATTACAACATCTCCCAAAACTTCCAATGAACCAAAACGATGTTAGTTCCCGTTCAAGTAGTAATAAACAAAGTTGCTATGAACGTCTTACTACTACTATGTTTTACTCGAGTTTAAGTTCTATGCACAAACGGTGTCATATACAATACAGATAACTCAAACATGTTTGTCGTTTTCGATCAACACTAGACAATTTTCATTCATTTCAAGCATGGAAAAGTTCCCCAATCCCCACCACTCTCAACGTCATAATTCTCCATCATATATAAGTCGAAGTCAAACAAACGATGATTACTAACTAAAAGCTTCATGCTTCTAATGTAAACTAATTACTCAATTACATATAGTCATATACAATACAAATTACTCAAACATGTTTATCGTTTCAAGTCAACACTAAACAATTTTCATTCATTTCAAGCATGAAAAATTTCCCCACCAAAGTCAGAGTCATGAGTCCCCATTGTATATATATAAAAATAAGTCAAATTCAAACGAACGATGATTACTTACCTATCGTATCGCACAATACTAAAACTCTTTCAATTACTTTACCATAATTAGTTTTAGCTTACTGACGGTGCTACGTGGAATATTTTTTTTAATTGACAAATTTGACCTAATACCCTATATTTAGTATATACACTGTTGAGTGAGCCAAAAAAGTTTTTAAGTTAAAACAACAAAAATAAGTAAAAAGTGTTAACGTACCTTGTAAAGAAATTTTATTATTATTTCATCCAAAAAATATCACAGATTTCTTCATAAATTGTGAGATCTATAACTTTAAATATAACAACAAATTGACTGGTATGGATTGTATTGAAGGCAAAGTAACTTAACTGAATACTCATGAATGACTGAATATATATATACTTGAAAGAATATTGGAGATACAATATCTAAGCTCCAATTTACACAGGTTTTACAGACATTATAAATACAACAATGAGCTAAATTTGGAGCATAAAACAAGCTCTCATTTGGGAGTAACCAAAAAAGCAAAGCAGTACCCTCTCCTCACACTCTGGAATTCAAGGCTTTCTTGAACAACTAGTTAGCTCTCCAATTTTTGAAATAGTTAGCTCTCTGATTTTTGAATTGATCATTGTACTACATCACCTCATTTGGTAGGCAGCACTAGAAGCTGGCGCGTAGGGGCAGGCCATTGCCCTCCTTTCTTTTCTTTTAACAATCTGTAGCTTTGGTGATCTTGGTTTCGTCACTTGTTTGGAAGACCTGTGATGCACGAAAGCTTTAGAATATGCAGAGAAATAGGAATGGAGAAAAAATAAGAAGAGAAACTCGCGAACTTGCTGTACATACTTCTGAGGTAGAAAAGGATGATCAAATTTAGGCACTGGTCTTGCATGGGGCACCAAAGTTCTCCTCAGTTGTTTCAATGCTTTCTCTTCCTCCATCTAATCCATAAATGAAAGTAACACGAAATTCAGAGAAGGAAAATTTGGGGCTTTACACACATCAGCATAACGTAAGCATAGCATGCATCCGCATGTTAGTGCCATAACTAGGATCCCATGCTCTCATAACTCATTAACATAGGTCCATAGGACTAAGGAGTCTCATACATAGCAATCAAGAGGTTAAAGTCTCACTTATGTCATAAATGAAATAAGAATTAATCCAATATGACAAGATTAAATCAAATAACACAAAATCAGGATGTGCATTACCATTCTTGCAGATTCTGTCTCTTCTCTATACCTCTTATGCATCACCTCTTTCTGCTTAATCTGCAGAATGAACTTATGACCTTAGCATTGGATGACTAGGAGAGAAAGCAAGTCTAAATACGTGCGATTCTAGATGGGAACGAAATTACCTTCTTATCGAACTCAGCTCTATCAAGAGAACGGTGATCTACATTCAGTTTAAAGTCCTGAACTTCAGTGAGGGGTTTACGTACTTTCTCAGGAACTGGAATAGGGTCCCTGCATTAATGTTCAAAAAATTATATGCCATCTTTTGATACTGAAAATATGACGACACTCTATGGAAAAGGTTATTCTTTTATATCTTACTCGGCCAAGATTGGTTGAGCCTTAAAGTTCCTCATCTTTGCTTCTTCCTCCTCCATTTTTCGCCTTTCTTCCATTTGCCTCCACGTCTCCTGCTCATGCTTAACAAGACTCTCCAATTGGAAAGGTTCTGGTCTTGTGCACCGCTTTGGTTCTGGTTTTGGTGGAATCTGGCATGACAAAACAAGGTAATGACGAACGTAAGAACGTGTTTGTGGACAAGGTTCACGTGTTAGAGTAGAGGTAAGAAAAGATTGGTTAAGTACCACTGGATAATCAGTGGTGTATGGATATGGAGTTGCTTTGCGCATTCTGGACCTCTCCTCCTCAATTTGTTTATGTAGAAGTTCGGTGAACAATTTCCTCTCTTTCTCCGCCCCTCGTTCCTGAACGAAATGGAAAGCCAAGTCATGAGGAACTGTTTTAAGCTAAAAAAAAAACAAGAACATAAAAACTACATACCTCAGTGGAGAGATGGAAGGGATTTGGAGTGGTGTTTCTAGGAATAGTCTTGTCGTTTTGAGGTTCAGAATTAAGGGAAAGCTGAAAACATAGAGAAAGATACGATGAGAAGAAAATGAGGGAAGGACGGTAAGATGATAGTAAGAAACATGACAATGTTAGACCTTGTCAAACAACATATCAGCTACATTAGCTGGAGGCGGAATTCGTTCATCAGTGGCAAAATGAAATTCTTGAGGCACTGTCACCTGCCTCTTTGTGTTGCAGAACATCCCCAAATCTCCTTTACTTTCAAATATCTACAATTTGAGGAGGAAGTCAGCAACAAGTTAAAAACTAGAGACCAAGCTGTTTTCCTGTATAGTGGCTAGAAAGGTCGGTAGGTGGCTATTGTTACCTTCTTATTCAAAGGCCTTGCCTTAAATTTGGGAACTTTTTCGAGTTCTTCCTTTTCCATTTCTTTGGAGCTTCTAATCCTTGGAGGTCGTGCTCTTAGTGATGTTTTAAGAACAGGGGACTTTGGGGCTGTAAGATGCGACAATTTCCACTGATGACTCTGCGATGAATGAATTGCTATATTCAGTAATTAAAGCAAATAAATTTGTTTTTATCAAGTGATTATAGGAAGCACTCCCCGTACCTGAGTAGATTCTATCGATGCAACTGTTGATGTTTCCGCATTTTGATTGGCTCGTGCCATAGTTTGCAAATGAAATTCCTGCAGAAGTAAGATACAAATTTATATCGAATTTACACTGAAAATTATGACTTTGGCAATCTATACGATACCTTAAATTCTGGAAGTTGAGGTGTACTCTTCGGTAAAGCTGGAAGAGTTGGAACTTCCAATATCTGTTGCAAAATATTCAAGATAAAATTAGAAGGTAAGATCAAAAGACGTAATAAAAGTCGCGAAAGGAGGGAACAAATGTCTAATAACATGAGGTACCTTTTTGTTCAACGGGCGAGCCTTAAACTTTGGAATTTTGGCCATCATTTCTTCCTCTAGCTCAGCTGAACTCTTGACTCTTGTTGGACGAACACGTTGAGCTGTTACAAATTCAGGTTCTTTAGGCCTGGTCAATATGAGCTTATGCTTCCTCTGCATCTGTCCAGCTGGATCATCCTGGAAAATGAAAATGCTTTAGAAGACGTGTAAAAGGAAAGCTAGTTAATATTCAAGTAAAGCTTACATGGGAAGTAGAACTGCTCATGTGAGGAAGTGACATCTCCCTGGTGCTAGATTGAAACTTTTTCATCATTTCTGCTATTGAAACAAATGGGGCAACTGGTTCCCGAACATACATCTTAAGGGGAGAAACAATGTTAAGTTAGAGTCACAACATCCAAATTTGCATAGATTCCGAAATGCAAGAAAAGGAAAATTTTGTCATGTAAACCTTTCTGTCCTGTTTATGAACTTCTGCAGTCGAAGCGAATAAGGTGGAATTGCTGCTAGCAACCCCAACTTTTGTTTTGTGAGGCAGATTCTGGGGTTTGACATTGAGAATCTACATATGGTCGGAGGAATGAAGAAGCATGGTCAGCTAAAAAGTGAAATATTATATGCATGTCCCGAATAAGATCTGAAAGATAAAATTCACCTGTCTGGATTTTCCGCTTTCTAGTTTCTGTCTTTTTATAGCTTGGTTTTCTTGGGAAAGATTATGTGTTCCAACAGCACTTTTCGCGATTGTTTGCCTACGCATCAAAAGCAATTCGTTATTCCAATCAGAGCAAACATTTTTGGAATGACCGAACAAAAAAAATCAGCGCTAAGAAGCTAAAACCATTAACTTACTTTCTGACACTAGCTGGATTACTACTCTTCTTCAATTGTGACTGTTGCAGGTGAGCTTTTGACTTCAATGCTGAAAGGTTTCTAATAATGCTGGCAATCTTTTTAGCGGTCTGTCGCTTCTTGGAATCAGTCTTCTCGTCACTCTTCTGAGATATTATCGGTGGTGCAGGGGTGCTAACTTCTGTCACAAAAAAAGGCATTATTAGATGCATTATCAGCTGAAGGGTGGGGGGAAGCCAAATGATAACGCCTTCAGTATAACCAACCTTCTACATTTGACTGCTGCTGTACAGATTCCTGCAAATTAATAAAACCAAATTGAGAAATAGATCCCAGAAATAGCGACAAAAGTGCTGTGCTTTCTACAAGATGTGGAGACATACCAGACTAGGAAGACTGCTACCAGATTCTTCAGTAATCTCTTTTGGCATAACCTCTAACTTACTTCCAGAAGAAGCAAGCTCAGCTGCAGGTTCTTCAATCTCATTTGGCATTACATCTACCTTACTTCCAGAAGAAGAGGGCTCAGCTGCGCGTTCTTCAATCCCATTTGGCATTACCTCTACCTCACTTCCAGAAGAAGTGGGCTCAGCTGCGCGTTCTTCAATCTCATTTGGCTTTAACTCTTCCTTACTTCCAGAAGCCGTGAGCACAGCTGCAGGTTCTTCAATCCCATTTGACCTTACCTCTACCTCACTTCCAGAAGAAGTGGGCTCAGCTGCGCGTTCTTCAATCTCATTTGGCTTTAACTCTTCCTTACTTCCAGAAGCCGTGAGCACAGCTGCAGGTTCTTCAATCCCATTTGACCTTTCCTCTTCCGTACTTACAGAAAAAGAGGGCTCAGCCACAGGCCTGTTTCAGATGAACAATGAAAAATCAGTACATTTTGAGTAGGAATGTGATGTCAAATGAAAGGAATATGAATTCGCGTCAAATTCATCTTAATCAGTAGACCTTGCATTGTCCTGCAATTCTTCGTCTTTAGTAAAATCACATAGGTTCTCAAGTTGAATTGTTCTACCACTCTTCTTGATTCTTTGCATAAAAGCTGCCAAAGACAACAAAGAAATAACCAATCAACATTTCGTCATCAATTTGCAATGTCTTGAAATAGAACAGAAATCATTTGACAGATGAAGCAAGGCAAATATTTCTCCACGTTCATCTCTAGTTGCATGTCTAAGGTCTCAAAGTAGTAAATTTCTGTTCATATCTAGTATTTGAAGGCTTCCCTAGGAGTTGGACGTCATGTTATGTAAAGGGTTGTTTGGGAATGCAGCCAAAATCAGGCAATCAATTTTGTCCAAGGCTTAATGTGGGTGAGAGACTGATAAGTGAACAAGTACTACCATTTGAAAAGAGGGTCAAAGAATTCTTGAAATTGTCACAAGGGAAGCGGGACAGGGACAGCAATGCGTTCCGCTCAGATGTAGAACGGATCAACTCAGGGCGTTGAACAACTTGGATTTGGAGGTTAGTTTGGCACCCATGCTAAAGCGAATCTCTACATTTATAGCCAATTCTCAAAGAAGTAACACATAAACTTCCTTTCAAAAAAGATAAAAATTGATTGGATTGGAGGGGGAAGGATGAATTAGAGCAACAAAGAGCTAAATCTTAGTGGATCGTGGCAGCAACGTCACTCTACCACTTACAATGCTTGTCTCACCTATTTAGGTCACTCGCAAAGGATTCTACCGCTACTCTATGGAAATTGTACTTCAAAGTTGTCATAGTGACTCTTCCACCGCAATAACTAAGCTGTTGACTCATTCCCTCCCCCTCCCCCTCTCCCTAACCGTAAAGCTATAAAAAACAATGGGAAGAAAAGTCTTATTTTTGGCATAAAAGCTGCATAAGCCAACACTGAGATAACCAAACATCACCCTCACATTGCAATTGATACTTTTTTCTGAATTGCACTCAACAACAGCAACGCAGATATTTATCAACCTACATTGATCCTATAAAAAATAAATTAAACATATCCACAGATACACCCACATTCCCTTGAAATGAAACAGAATATCCCACAAATGAACTAAATTATCTTATTATCTCAATCGTCTTGATCTCTGGCTTCATAACTGAGGCTTTAAAATTTTTAATTAATTTCAAAATTCATAATTTATTAATTTGAAAGCTACTATGAGAGAAGTAAAAAACAATGATTGTTACAAAACCATCACCGAGCGGAGCTAGAAGATTATAAACAGGTTCGGCAGAATTCAGTAGCTTTAGAGAATGTTTAGATTGGCTTACTTTATGTGCTTTCGATTTTTAAGGTCTTTTTCTGTGTCTGAGAAAGATAAAAAATGTTTTTAAGTGCTTACTTTAGGCTAAAAAGTATAAAAATAAGCTAAAAGCCAAAAGTTGTATACTTGTATTAAGAAACTCAGTATGAACAAATATTAAATCCATAACCCAGTTATTAACACTGATATATCGTTATTCTAGAATCTAGAACCCATAAAATTCAAATTTTGGCTCCGCCCCACCGGAGCCAATCCAAATTACTCGTTCTTAAACTAAGCCCAAAAATGAAACTCCTTTTCTGTATCATCCAAAATTATAGCCCTAAATTGTGAAATTATGATCATTATAGAAACTAAGTTAATTGAAAAAAAAATACACACTAATCCAACTACCAAACCCTAAAAAAAATGTGAAACCCCCAAAATCACAATTGATTAAGCAATTGATTGAAACTTGAAAGCATTAAAAGCAATGAAATTCAATACAAAGTAGACAGACTTACGAGAAGGAGCATAGCTAATTGAAGTCTCGAACCATAGTTCAGCCTTGCGCTTATCTTCATCAGTCTCTCCATTGATGAAGTCATAGAATCTTGGCGCCGAAAACTCATAATCGTCATCCATAACAACTGAGTTCAAATCTGCCATTTTCTTCCACTTTCACAATACCTGTGCAACAAAATGGTGCAAGTTGTTCTCCTCTGTACTCGCGATTTTGCGTCTTCCCAAAAATGAAAGAACAGAGTAGAAATTTGGGATTACTTAGAGATTTTGAGTGTAACGGTCGAATTTTTTTGAAAAAGAAAGAGCCTTAAGTGACTTTTGGAATGTGCACTACTGTATAACGGCTAGTAGAAGGGAGATTTATGTCCTAATATAAAATAATATTTTTGGAGTCGGGAAAGTCGTTACTAATGTTTGTAGTAGGGTTAGTTATCTGTGTTATCTAAACCTTATGTGATTGAGAATGCAGGATGTTTTTATAGTGACTCGATGTATTTAATTTTTTATGATTAAAATATGTATTTTTAATTCGAAATACAATATTATTGTATTAGTATAGTCAAGTAATGTTACAAATTTAGTGTATCACATGAGTAATTAAGTGGTAGAATGATGATTTATTATAGTGGTAAAGTTTTGAAAAAAAATCCATAAGTAATGGGATAATTGTGTAATTTAGTCAACTTGAAGGTTTAATATTGCTAGTCAAACATGATATGGATAAAAATAAGAATTTATCAATCACTCAGTCCACTCAGGGACTGTTCGCAAAGAAATTTTCTTAAATATAGAAAATTTATTGTAATTACAAAATAAATAAAAAGAATGATTTTATTTATAAAGATTGTGAGTATAATATTTATATATTTTGATCCCTTGATTTTCTCAATTAAATTTTTCTTTATGATACGAGGATTAAGTAGCATATTTCTCGAACGTAAGATGATATGGACCTTCTAATGTTGTATTTTATCCCCAAGAATGACAACACTTTAATATTTCGAATCGATCTTGAGGAAGACTGTTTGCAACAAATTTTAAACATATGGAAAATAAATCATCCACACAAATAAAATCTAAAGAAACATAACTTTATTGATAAATATGCGGGTACAATTTCATTCCTCCCTTGATTCTACTCTCTTAAGATTTATCTGTGATTCGAGCACCGTTAGTGGCGTATTTCTCGAACTAGGATGATTTAGATTTGACCTCCATATGAATATTTCATGACTTTTGTGGAATATTCGAGATGTCTTTTTAAGGGAATATAGCACCCTTTATATATGCATGAACTAGGGTTTAGGGTTTAGCTTCCAAGAATCCTAATTGGAATTGAACACATATTGTAGAGTCACAACTAGAATTGAACACGTCTTGTAGAGTCCAACAAAACTTCAATGTCTACAAATGCCCCATGCTTCAAGGCTTGTCGGAGTGTAGACTTGATGAAACTCAAAGACGAGACTTTAAGTACTCATTCTTCCACCTTCACAACTTTAGATTTTCAGATTTAATTTATGAGAGAAGAGATGAAGGACATATTTGGTCCCACTGGGCGTGCCAATTCATTTGCAACAAATTTTAAACATATGAAAAATAAATCAACCACACAAATAAAATCTGAAGAAACATAACTTTATTGATAAATATGTGGGTACAATTTTGTTCCTCCCTTGATTCTACTCTCTTAAAATTTATCCATGATTCGAGCACCGTTAGTGGCGTATTTCTCAAACTAGGATGATTTAGATTTGACCTCTATATGAATATTCCATGACTTTTGTGGAATATTCGAGATGCCTTTTTAAGGGAAGATAGCACCCTTTATATAGGCATGAACTAGGGTTTAGGGTTTAGCCTCCCAGAACCCTAATTGGAATTGAACACATATTGTAGAGTCTCAACAAGAATTGAACATGTCTTGTAAAGTCCAACAAAAATTCAGTGTCTACAAAACTTTTATTGATCACTAATGCCTTGAGTTTTTTTTTATGTCCTAATCTAGTTGTGAATAGCCAAGGTTTTATAGGGTACTCGAGATTTGATGTCTTGATCTCTTTACCTCAAAGTTTATGTGATATTAGAGATATCTCTTTACAAAAATATATGTGTCATTTTTATAGGTAAGAATTAGGATTTAGGGTAATATAGTCTTCAAGAAATTCTAATATGGATCTAGAATGTGAAGATAAATTGGACTCGTCATGTATAGTCATATTTTAAATCGGGTAAAACTTTGATGTCTAAAGATGCCACCTACTTTAAGGTTTGCCAGAGTGTAGACTTGTCAAAACTCAAATAAAGACGAAACTTAAAATACTCTTTAAAGTGAAGCTCTGAATTTTTGTATATCTAACTTCTGAGAAAAGAGATGAAGGACATATATATTCGTTACCATATCGAGCAAGTCAATTTGCATGCAATAAATTTTCTTGAATATGAAAAATAAACTATAATCACAAATTATTAAAAAATGATTTAATTTATCAAGATTGTTGAATAATTTTGTGTATTCCCTTAATTCTTGTACTAATAACATTCAATAAATTTTTACTAGGACATGAATAATGGGAGAGCATATGGTAAAAGATGAAAGGGAGACTTAATAAAGGAAATTTTGATCATATATTTATCCCTTTTTTAATTTCTTAACTTTCGTAACAGAATTTCAGTAACCTCTTTTAACTTTTTACTAAAATGGAAAATTTCTTCATAAGAAAGAAACGAAAAACATTATTTCTGCAACAGATTCCAATAATAAAGGAAGACTAAAACAAATGAAAACTGTTTTTCATTTATTATGCATTAAATATGTACTCAGCCAAATTAAATGATCATTGAACTAATAACTGTACTTATAAATTATATATAATTCCACCAGTGACCATAATTAGAACCACAAAAATAAATTTTAAAAAAATTATATGGCAATCAAGAATCAAGCAATTGTTTTTCTTATGGTCATTGTCCTCGCAGTGGAAATTCCACTGCCAGGTGCCACGTCAATATTGGACATCACTCCTCAGAACGTGACATGCCATGACGTGATCAATTATTTTGCATATTGCCAAGAGTTTGTCGATGGAAATGAGGATGATCCAACGCTCATGTGTTGCGATAACTTACATATAATGAACGAAAAGGTAGGACAGGAGGAGAGAGGGGCGCGGAGATATTGCTATTGTATTGAAGTATTTTGTGATACGTTTAGCCAACCTCATCCTCCCTATCTTGCTTCACGGATCGAAGATCTTGATAAAAAGTGTCATATTCATCGTAGTTTTCCCATCTCTGAGCATATGGACTGCACAAAGTATGTTATTTCATGATTATCTCTCTCCTCCCTCTAAATTTTATACTATATGTTAGTATATACTTTATCTTCTTAAATTTATATGACGTAATTTGGTTAGATTCAAAGTCTAAAAAGAAAATGAAGATTTTTAAAATTTATGGTATCTTTTTTTTATCTACTAATCATCATAAGTAACAAACTCACCTTATTTTTTTAAGAAAATATTTTCAGTGATGCCAAACACATCCTTAAACTGTTAAACATATTGTAATATTGTGTGGTTATATAAGTTTAATCGAAATAAATATATGTTATTCATTTTTTAACTTAAGGAAGTATTTTCATATAAATTAAAATGTAAGTGTAATATTTCTTTGGGTAATGCTATACTTATTTTCTCTCTTTTTATTTTTTTTGCAGTGTTTAGTGGTCGCAGAATATTGCTTAGATTGTCCATCGCCTTTTTTTTTCCATGCCCAAAATAACCTTATGACTAGTAATTCTCTGTACTTTGATATTATGTTATATTATAAAAAGGAAAAATCGTTTTAGCCAGAAAATTTGGCGAGAATGATATTTTATCTATGTTATTTTATATTTTTAAACATATTTATCCTTTTAACTTTAATATCTTTCAACTAAAAAATGAAAAAAAGATCAGTTTATTTTAAAATAAAAAAAATATCATAGTTTTTTTAATTTTCTGGCCAAATTCTGACCAAAATTTCTGGTCATTTAGCACTTATGGATAAACAATTAATTTATATAAAGAATTGTCCCCCAAATCCATGAATTCTAATTCCCAATTTCGCATGTTCTTTTTGTGGTTGATCATGAAAAGATTGCTAAAATTTTAAACAAAGTTCTAATTATGATACAAGATAATCACAATTTTTGTAAGCAATTATGATGTTTAAAGAAGTGAACAAGTGAAATTTCAATGTAACGATATTATAATAAAATAATTACAATCTAAATTATTTAAACAAAAGCATGATTACTACAATTCATCTTATGCCAATATTAAAATTTTAAGTTCGACTTGAAAATTTATCAATCGGACCGAAAAACATAAATAGTACTTTTAAGTTAGGGGTAAATTACAGAAATCACATATTTTTAAGGTAAAATTACAATTTATCCCTTAAAAGTTTATAATTACATAAATACCTCAAACGGATACAATAATATAAGCAATGATACATTAATCTGATGCGCGAGATACATTAATCGTTAAGTAAGATACATTACATTTTATATATGATACACTAATCTGATGTACATTTTATACATGATACACTAAATTTCGGGCCAAATTCGAATTTAGTCAGGCTTCAATGAGGATACTAGACATCGGGCGGGAAATAAAAAACAAAATCTGTTAATTAAACACTTTAACTTTTCAAGCGATTAAACTAAAAACTTTACTGTTAAAAATATTTATTTTTACGATTAAAAATGTTTACTAAGCAGGGACCATTCATTTTACTCTGAACAAGCAAAACAAATAAATCAATTAATTACTACCGCCACCACCATTGCTATAGTCACCTTCATTGAAGAACACACCTTCAATTAACAAATCAACTAAAAAAATCACATCGAAGAATTACAAAGATGGACAAAAAAATGAAATGTGGAGGAGAGAGCGAACGAGAGTGTGTCATGCCTACTCTTCTAACCAAGAAGCCTAAAACCTAATTTTGCCTACTGTTTTCAATGGCCTCCATGGCCACCCGCCAGCCTCCGCCAGTTGAGGTTGGCCAGACGCAGGGACCATTAGAGGAAATAAAAATATCATATGCAAACACTCTTGTAGCACCAAAAAAACCACATCATAGTTTGCAGATTAAGCCTTTAACATATTTGCATGGGGAACCAAAGCTAGTATGGGAAGATGAAGAAGTACAACAGATGATTATTAACGAGGACCTCCAATATGCAGTGATTGGAAAATTTTCTTATGGATGGCCTGATATCCTAGATCTGAGGAAGTTAATCCCAAAACAATGTGAGCTAAAAGGGGAAGTGAACATAGGGCTTCTGTGTAACAGATATGTATTGATCAGGGCATCACTACTTGAGGACTATGTGAAGCTGTTATCCAAGCCTCAATTTTACATCACTCACAATCATTGGTCCTATCCAATGCGAACACTGAAGTGGGACCCTTTGTTTGATCCAGAGGAGGAGACGACCACCGCGATAGCCTGGATATCTTTCCCATCATTGCCACCAAACTTTTTCGGTAAGGAGACAATATTTTCAATGGCAGCAGCAGTTGGAAGACCATTACAGGTAGACCTGGCAACTCAGAATAAAACAAGACCTAGTTGTGCAAGGGTAAAGGTAGAGGTGGATCTGTTGGGAGAATTCCCAAAAAGAATAAATATTGGAATGGGGAAGAAGACAGGGGAAATCATGGAAAAATGGGTGACAATCAATTATGATTATGTTCCAAAATATTGCAAAACTTGCAAGCTCCAGGGACACAATGAGAAAGACTGATATGTAATTCACCCAGAAGCAAGATAACAAAGAAAACAAGGGGGAAAAAGGTAATCAAGCTGATGGAAAATGTGCTAATGGTGAAAAGCAGGAACAAGGTGACAGAGTGCAGGAGGATAAAGAAAGGAACACAAATTTCAGGGAACAAAGGAGGAGGTATGGTTACGGAAAGGGGTATCAGATTCAAAATAGAAAGACAACGCAAGTATGGAATGTAAGAACTTCACAAGTTAATGCAGAGGTGACTACAAAGAATAAATTTGGGGAATTAGAAGGGGAAGATGATAAGCAAGATACTTTTACACACCAAGCAGATAAGGGTAATAAAAGTTTACCAGCTCAACAGAAAGCAGTAACACAACAGGAGGGAAATAGAAGAGAAAGTGCGACATGGTCCTCTAATTTTCACATAAAAGAGAACAAGATGGGATTGGAGCAAATTGATAGCTTAGAAAATCCTATTGAAAAAGATACAGGCTCCAATGGGACACAACTGGAGGCAAACAAGGCAATGATTGATAAGGAAAGGGAAAGAGGGAAGATAAATGCACTGGAATTGCAGAAGGAAGATGATTTGGCAAGGAGAAGAGCAGATAGTTTCAGCACACCTAATATTGAGAAGAAAATGGCACAAGAGATACAAAAAAAACTAGACACAGAAGAAGAAGAAGAAAACATGGATGCTAACATACTTTGCATCAGTAGAGATGGAGATCTATCTCCAAGACATATAGGACATTCGAAAGAAAGATATGGGACTCACAGGAACAACAATTTGGGCATATCTTATGTTAATACAAAGAATAGAAGGGGCAAGGCCTTAAGTCTTGATCAATGATTAGTAAAATTCTATTTTGGAATATCAGATCAGTAAAATCTCAAAATTCTTTTGAGAGACTCCTGGATCTAAATAGAAAACATCACTACTCATATATTGCTCTCTTAGAGCCTTTTCAGAGTCCTTCATAAATAGATAGATACAGGAGAAGACTTGGGAAACAACATGCCAAAGTTACTTGTTCTTCCAAAATATGGTTGTTTTGGGATGAAGAGTGGGAAGAGCTGGATTGTATTGACTCAGTGCAGCAGATTACTGTCTCTTTCAAACATAGAAATAATAATGATCAAGTCAAGATTACAGCAGTTTATGCTAGATGTAGTGCCCTGGAGAGAATGGAACTGTGGGAAAACCTTGAAGAGGTGGCTTGCAACACAGATTGCCCTTGGATAGTAGGGGGAGATTTCAATACTATTGCTGATCAGTCTGAAAAGTTAGGAGGATTACCTGTCTCACAAGTAGAAGTAGAGGACTTTGTACAATGCATAAGCTCTTGTGAATTAAATGAGATAAAATTCTCTGGAAGTTGTTACACCTGGTGGAATGGCAGAATATAGCAAAATTGTATATTTAAAAGACTGGACAGAGTCTTTGGGAATAATGCATTTATGGCTGAATTGCAGAATACAAAAGTCCAACATCTGATCAGGGAGGGTTCAGATCATGCCCCACTACATGTTACTTGCAGTACAGGCCAGGAGCAAATATATAAGCTTTTTAGATTTCTCAACTTTTTGACAAAACATCATAGTTTTCAGAAAATAGTGGAGGATGTATGGAAGATGGAAGCAACAGGCTCACCACTCACAGTAGTGCAAACCAAAATGAAAAGGGTGAAATTGGCTTTGGTGCAATGGAGTAGGACAACCTTTGGAAATATTTTTCAACAGGTAGCTACATTGGAGGATTTAATAAGGGCCAAAAAGGTTCAGTTAGAAATAAATGCATCAGAAGAAAACAGGACAACATTGAAGAAATCTGAGGCAGACCTAAAAAAATACCTGCACATTGAGGAAGAGTATTGGAAGCAAAAAGCAGGCATGAGATGGTTTAAAGATGGTGATAGAAATACAAAGTTTTTTCATGCTTTTGTGAATGGGAGAAGGAGAAAGATGCATATATTTGTGATAAAAACCAGGCAAAGATATACAATAACCACCACTCAAAATATTGGGAAAAAGGCAGTGAATGTGTTCAAGGAACAATTTAAGGAGACATATGTGCCTACAGATTTTTCAATGCTAGAACATATACCTAAAATAATATCAGAAGAACAGAATGAAGAAATGGGAAGATTACCAGCTGAAAAGGAGATCAAAGAAGTGGTATTTGCATTAAATGGTGATAGTGCAAGTGGACCAGATGGCTTCTCTGGACAGTTTTTTCAAAGTTGTTGGGATACTGTGAAATGGGACATAGTCAACATGGTAAGAGCTTTTTTCTGTGGTCAGGAGCTTCCTAGGTTTATAACTCACACCAATTTGGTTTTTATTCCTAAAAAGGAGGTGGTGGATAGTTTTGGTGATTTGAGACCAATAAGCCTAAGTACATTTATTAACAAGATCATGTCAAGACTGTTACATGATAGATTAGTCAAAGTACTACCTTCTATTATATCCCAGAATCAAACAAGGTTTGTGAAAGGGAGAAGCATCACATAGAATGTGCTTCTAACTCAGGAGATCATCAGGGACATAAATAGGAGAAATAAACTTCACAATGTGGTGGTGAAATTGGACATGGCTAAAGCATATGATAGAGTGTCTTAGATCTTCCTCACAAATGTGCTAAGGAGTTTTGGATTTTCAGAAAGAATCATTGACATGGTGGTAAGGTTGATATCAAACAATTGGTACTCAGTGATTATGAATGGGCAGAGCTTTGGTTTTTTTCAATCTTCAAGAGGATTAAAACAAGGGGATCCTCTTTCTCCAACATTGTTTATCATAGCAGCAGAGGTATTGGCCAGAAATCTGAATCAGTTATTCAGGGATCATAAGTATAAGGGCTTTGGACTACCAAAGTAGAGCCCTGAGATTAATCATTTGAGCTATGCTGATGATACTATATTATTCTGCTCAGGACAGTCATACTCAATAAAAAAAATGATGAAGGTGTTGAGAGAATATGAACAAGTGTCAGGTCAGATGATAAACCTAGACAAGAGCTTTGTATATTTGCATGAAAATGTGCCTCTTGGTGTATGCAGGAAGATAAAAAGAATAACAGGTATTAAGCAGGGATCTTTTCCTATTTTCTATGGAAGGAAGAACAAAACTCACTTTGAAAGTTTGATAAAAAAGGTGATGAAGAGAATAAGCTCCTAGCAGAATAGGTTACTCTCCTTTGGAGGAAGATATGTCCTAATAGCCAATGTACTACAATCATTGCCAATATATGTACTTTCTGCCATGAACCCTCCAGCTTGTGTCATTACCGACCTGCATAGAATTTTTGTTAAGTTCTTTTGGGCTAACACTACTGGGGCCAAGAACAAGCACTGGGTAAGCTGGGATAGAATGTGCTATCCAAGAGGGGAAGGAGGATTGGGATGGAGATCATTACATGATGTTTCAAAAGCCCTGTTTGCCAAGCTCTGGTGGAACTTCAGAACTTCCACAAACACTTTATGGGCATTTTTTATGCGGAACAAATACTGTAAGAAGCATCACCCTATTATTGCTCAGGGATATGGGACATCTCATGTTTGGAGAAGAATGACATCAATAAGGGAGGAAGTAGAGCATGAAATCTGGTGGCAAAATAAGGCAGGTAATTCTAGTTTTTGGTTTGACAATTGGACCAAACAAGGAGCACTGTACCATATAGAAGATACTGCAAAGGAAGAGGAGGTGGAGGTTAAGGAGTTCGAGGGGTGGGACATGGAGAAGTTGCTTCAGAATCTGTCACTGGAAATGACTGATCATATTATGGAGAACATTTCACCTCCAAACATTTTGTTTGGAAATGATGTGGCCTGGTGGATGGCAAATGCACAAGGAAGATTCACAGTTAAATCAGCTTGGCAGATTATGAGAAACAAACATGAAAATAGAAGAGACTATGAGCTAATCTGGAATAAGAGGTTGCCTTTTAAGATTAATTTTTTCTTGTGGAGAGTATGGAAAAGGAGGATTGCCACTGATGACAATCTTAAAAAGATGAGAATCAATAGTGTCTAGATGTTGGTGTTGTGACAAGAAAGAGGAGGAAACAATGACACATTTATTCCTAATAGCCCCCATAGCCTACAAGCTATGAAGGTACTTTGCTCATTTTGCAGGAATCAATATTGATGGAATGCATCTTCAACAACTCATAATAGCTTGGTGGAAACATGAGGCAACACCATAATTGCAGAGCATATTCAAAGCAATACCAGCTATCATCATGTGGACTTTATGGAAGAGAAGAAATGCCCTCAAACATGGAAGTAACATCAGTTGGGAAATAATGATGGAAATGGCAATAGAAGTGGTAAGGCAGATGGTGAAGACTCAGTTTCCATGGATAAAGAATATGAGATGGACTTGGCAAGACATAATACAAGGGCTCAATCAGTACAAGCCAAAGATACACTTCTTGAGGGTCACTTGGAAACCTCCTGAAGATCATTATGTAAAGTGTAACACTGATGGAGCATGCATAAGTAATCCTAGTTGGAGTTCTTTTGGGTTTTGTATTAGAGATGATAAAGGGGATCTAATATATGCTAAAGCTAAAGGTATTGGAATTGCAACAAATATGGAAGCAGAAACTGTTGCCATTTTAACAGCCCTTAGAGAGTGTTATAACAGAAAAATGCAGAATGTGATTGTTGAGACTGATTCACTCAGTCTCAAGAAAATCATTCAGCAGTCTTGGAGGGTTCTATGGGAAATAGCAGAAAAAGTGGAAGAGATCAGAGAGATTATGAAAAAGATTAGAGCAAAGATCACACACATATTTAGAGAGGGTAATAGTTTGGCAGATTCATTGGCTAAAATAGTTATAGAATCACAGGCAGAACATCAATATAGTTGTTTCCAGGAACTACCATTGAAGGAAAGAAGGATTTTAAACGCAGACAAAGCTCAAATTCCTACATTCAGAATTAGAACACGCACAATCATCCCACAATGAGTCCATGACAGGCCAGAAATCACACAAGATTAATTACATTCGACATCAAGCATTAACAGAGAAGGGCGATGAACATCACTTATTCACAAATATTCTAGAAAGTAACAACAAGATCACCACACAGTATTTGATAGATATGAGTAGTAAAAAAAGGGGGGGAAGGGCTATGTAGATCGAGGAGGAGCAAACTCAGCTAAAAGGCTTCAATCAAGGCGGATTGCGGTGCAGATTAGAGCAACAAGTTGATCCTTCATCATGGAAATGAAGCTAAGTCAAGCTGAAAATAAATGGAAGATTAAGAGAGTAGATAAAGCAAGGAATGAAGCAAAATGGAAGAGAACATTACCTGAGCAGATTGAGCTTCATCATGGAAAACAATGGAGGAAGAACATCAAGAGTCAGAAGGGCAGCATCAAAGTAGGGAAATTTCGTTCATGGGAGTACTTTCCAATAAGAAACATATACCCTAATTGTAAGGGATTGGATAGTAAATGGATCGGGTCTTGTAGACCCATCCTATTTTTTGCTTTGTTTTGTTTGGGCAATGGGCCATGGGCATTGTACATATTTGGTTTGATTATTCAATAAAAGGTTGAACAAGCCACCAAAAAAATTATAAAAAAAAAAGAAAAAAGAAGAGTGTGTGTTTTGGGAGATGAAATAGAGACATCGAAACTTTGGTCTATTTTGATTATGTACTCCGATTAATTATACTTTTAAGTATTTATCTCATTAAAAAATGGGTAACTTACATTAAAAAGTATCTACTAAATATCTATAAATATTAATATTTGAATGTTATATATTCTTGGATTTCAATTAGATTAATTATATTTTTCTTGCTTTGAACAAAGGAAAACCAATCTTTAACATAACGTGATTATTAGTCAGGGAATCTTGCTAATCTAGGGTATAATGCCAATTTAATTGTCATTATACCATCAGACAAAAAATTAATTATCAATTAAATTGTCAGTAGTAAATAATTTTCATTATTCGCATGGATTCTACATTTGTTTTGTTTATGTTGACGATACAAATGTTCGTTGTTTTCTTTTTAAATCCTACGTATCCTTAATCTTTTTCTCAATGAATAAAATAGTTAAATTGTAAGAAGGTCGTGCATTTTTCCTATATGATTCAGTATTGTATCTGTTTTAATTTATTTGCTTTTTTAATCTATTTAAAAGAGTTATTTCTTCTTCTTTTTTTAAAAAAATAAAAAATTCTTTATTTGTAGTTCTTTACGCGACATGTTACTATTAAACTCAAAGGTTTTTATGTTTGTAACGAATCTTGTTTTCCTTTTAATTAAAAAAAAACACAAAATTTCCACAACTGCTAATATAAATTTCGTCTCATTTAGAAAATTGCTAGGAATATAAATGTAAAACAAGTGGAATCCATATGGTTAGGAAAGTAATTTTCGAAAGGCGAATTAAGAAATTTAATGAATTCACGTATTTTAAAAGGTCGTAAATAAATATATATTTCAAAATTTATATGCTTATATTTTCTTATCAATATTAAACAATAGTATAAGTTTTAAAAAACTTTAATTTTAAATATTAATTTAATCAAACTCAATTTAATTTAATTTACTTTTTAAATAAAATGATAAGCGACAAAAGATGGCGACTTAGCCACCCGCGGGATATAAAGTGTCACGTGAAGTGATACTATTTTATCATTCTATAAATGTGCAATGTCCTCAAATAATTACTTATTATTATAGTAATAATAACTAAGTTGCATTTCCGAAGAAAAAAATGGAGAATAAATTGGGCGAATGGAGTTTCAACAATGGCGATTTGAAGGAGAAATCTTTGTTTTCAATTCGATCAGTACTTGAAACAATTATGGAAAATCTCAAAGAAGACGATGAAAGAGTACTGATTCATCTGGGTCGTGGTGACCCATCTTCAATCCCCTGTTTTCGAACTTCTCCGGTAGCAGAAGATGCCATTTTTGGTGCTGTTAGATCTGCCAAGTTCAATGGTTATGCTCCTGCTGTTGGAATTCATTCAGCAAGGAGGTAAAGCTTTTTGGGGAATTATTTAATTTGTTACTGTAAAGTTTTCAATTTTTACTCTTGCATGGATTTAAAAAGCTTTGTTTTTCTTTCTCATTTTATCACATTGAAGTTCAAAATTTGGAGCTTATCATTGTTTGACTGCTTTTAAACTTTTTATTGGTGAGTTGATGTTGTGGGACTACCAATGGGTATGTTGGTGTTGTTTTCTATTGTTACTTGTTGCTTTATTGGATGTGTTAATCTTTGCCACTTTACTGTCGTTATTTTGCTTTCTAGCTTGTTTTGGGTAATGTGTGTTAGGCCGAACGTCTATTGAAAACAACCTCTCCACCACCACGAAGGTAGGGAGGGGTAAGGTGTGCGTATATCCTATCCTCTCGAGACTCCAACTTATGGGTATTTTGATGGGTGGTAGGGAGATATTCTCTTGAGTGGATGTAAAAGCTTGTTCCTTTTTGGAATTTTTCTGATTGATATTACTGCATTTAAGAATTTGTCTTTATTCAGCAAGTAGGTAAACTTGCACTTGTAGGATAATGGGCTATTGATATATTTATGGGTGGTGTAGAATTTTTTCTTGCATGTGTATACAAGCTTATATACCAGTAGTTGTAGCATTATTATTGTAGTTTCTTATACGTCGATTTCTATTACTATTTGGTATTTCTTGTAGCTCGATTACAGGATTATTTTGTTGTAGATACCGTTACTTTTTTCAGAATGCTTTGTTATGCTTTCTTTAGTTTCTTTGTCATGGTTTCTTCACTTGTGTTTTTTTTTTTTTTTTCATGTACTATTTTGTTATGTTTTTTCTTGAGCAGAAGGTTTATCGGAAACAATTTCTCTACCTCCCAAACCCCACTTGTGGGATTACACTAGGTATATTGTTGTCGTTGGATAGACAAGCTTATAATCTATTTTTTTGAAGAGTGATTTATCACATTGCAATTTTGTAGCTAGTTGGTTCTTTAATTTTCTATTCCTTTCCCATATGTCTCTTCTGGCATCTGGTTTTAGTCGATTTGAACATTGCTTCTTCATTATCTTGATGGAGACTTTTGTGCTATCAAATGAGTTTTTACTTGCAATGTCTGCATAAAGTATACATTTTTAAGCTCAAATTACCCCAAACACATTTCCTTTTTTCATAATATTCATGTTTATTACGAGTTATAACAATAATCACATTACAAGTCTAAGGCAGCAATTTCTTCTAAAGACTGAAGGGGAAGTAAGCTTGAGTAGAATTTTTCTTGTTGTCTTATTGTAGACTTCTTGTCATTTATTTTGGTCTAATCACCATGAATGCGGATGATTAGGTCTCATCAAGTTTCTTTCTAATGTTAAGAAATAAAGCTATTTGTTGATGCCAAAGATATACTCTGATAGATGCCCATTTTTTCATCTGCTGTAATAGGTCGATCGCGGATTATCTCTCTCATGATCTTCCTCACCACGTATCACCGGATGATGTTTTCCTCACACCTGGTGCTAATCAAGCAATTGAAGTTGTCATGTCAGTCCTTGCTCGCCCCGGTGCCAACATATTGTTCCCTAAACCAGGGTATCCATTTTATGATGCTCGTGCTGCATGTAGTAATCTTGAGGTCCGCCATTTTGACCTTCTCCCAGAAAAGGGCTGGGAGGTTGATCTTAAAAGCGTAGAAACCCTCGTTGATGATCACACCATTGCCATAGTCATCATTAATCCTGGAAATCCTTGTGGAAATGTTTTTACGTCTGAACACTTGCAAGAGGTAGGATTGACCTCGATATTGATGACTACTGTCACTCTCTTAAATCTCATAGTTCATATCAAAAATCTCATTTACCTAATTTTGTCCGTTTATTTTCATAATGGAGATTGCGGAGACAGCAAAAAATCTAGGAATTCTTGTGATTGCAGATGAAGTCTATAGCCACCTATGTTTTGGTAGCAAGCCTTTTGTACCAATGGGAGTATTTGGATCAATAACTCCGATTTTAACTCTCGGGTCAATATCAAAAAGATGGATTGTTCCTGGTTGGCGGCTTGGTTGGATAGCAATGGTTGATCCTAGTGGTGTCCTTAAGAAGTCCGGGGTTTGTATCATATCATTTTCTTCTCTTTATTTCTTGTCTTTGCTCTGCTAGAATTGAGACGAACAAAATGCTAAATTACTGCAGTTGTCCAATTGGGAAATATATAGATCTATGCAACTCTAGAAACTGATAGAGTTGTATAATCACCTGTATAGATATCTGTGAAGTTAAAAGAACATTTGCCTGCAGATTAAGCCTGAGCATCTCGAGCATGTCAATTCCTTCATGCGATTGAAACTTCTGTTGCTTTTGCTTTTCAGATTGCTGAATGCCTTCAAAATTATCTTGAATACAGTGCTAATCCTGCAACTATCGTTCAGGTATTGATATACGTCGTTTTCCTATGATCAAATCGGTCATACACATAATTAAGTCTATATAACAACAAACTATGGGAAAGAAGCTATAGCTTTTGCTTATGCTTACCGAATTAGATCCTCTAAAGGGAATGATTTCATCGCATTATGCTGTAAAGAAGTTCTGATTGGGGGTGTTTGACGATGTACAGGGAGCAGTACCTCACATCCTCGAGAAAACGACCAAGGAATTCTTTTCAAACATCAACAATGTACTGAAGGAAGCGGTCGATGCATTTTATACCAAAGTTCAGGAGATACCTTGCTTTATCATCCCATACAAACCAGAAGGAGCTATGTCCATGATGGTGAGGACTTAACGAACACTTAGATTTTGGTCCTCTATATCTAATGCTGAAGATTCTCAATTTCTTAACTTGATGCCTTGTAGATTAAATTGAACCTGTCATTGCTGGAAGGCATAAATGATGATATGGATTTCTGCGCTAAGTTAGCTCATGAAGAATCAGTTATCATTCTGCCAGGTAAAACATCTCATGGTTTCTCAAGAATGAATCTAAACCACTCTTCTTCTTTTTTTAAATTTCTCACCTGGTGTCTAGTATCCGCATCGGGGCCCAACTAAATTCAAACTAGCACGGGGAAGTCCCACATTGGGGAAAAGCATTCCATACCCAAGGCTCGAACCTTGTTATTTGTGCCCACTCTCAAATAATATAATGTCAAGAAGATTAAAAAAGTTCCATTACTTTTTTCTTGTCTAACCAAATACTTGTCATAGACTCATAGGGAGTATTGTCAAAGGAGAAAAGCCTTAAAAAGCGCTCCAGGTCAGTGGGCTTTAGTATAAAAAGGCACAACTAAGAAAAAGTAAATATACATATGTAATGCAAGAAAAAAAGTAGTAACTTTATTCATAATGATTTCTTTACAACAACAATATATATCTAGTGTAGTCAAACTGACACACAAAGTGAGTCTGGGAAGGGTAGAGCGTACCCAGGACCTTACCCCTACTTCATAGGTAGAGAAGTTATTTTCCGGTAAACACCATAATGCTTTCTTTATATTCCTTTGCCTATTATATCCATTGTTTAGTACTTTGTGATTCAGCATAGGACTTATGGTCAATGAGTTGCACACCTTATCTTGCCTACACCGGGCGCCCTCCATGAGCTTCAGGACTTAGTTCGTCTTAAGTGAGCCTTTGACACTATAGGCCTTAGGTCTTGGTTTATTTCACTCATTGTCTCAAAGGTTTTCTCGGTTATGCTTTGATTTCTTTCGCATCCATCATCTCTCTGCCCCCATTAAAATAGATCGAATTTCCTTTTCGAGTTTTAATGAAATGTTTATAAATGTTACAGGAGTGATTGTGGGACTAAAGAATTGGTTGAGGTTAACTTTTGCCATGGAGCCAGCTATTCTTGAAGAAGGACTTGACAGGATGAAAGCTTTCTACTTGAGGCATTCAAAAGTCATAGGTTTATAAAACTTGAGTTTTGTTCATGTGGTTTATTATCATACTGGTAGCCTAAAATTTGTACCAGTAAGATCAATTCATGATTTAATTAAGTTTTATGGATTTAATTGTAGCTTTGAATTCATAAACTTCAAATTTTGTCTATGATAACATTAAGCTACATCTGACCCTATGTCCAACTTATTACTTCCTCCATTTTAATTTGTTTGTCCTATTTTGACTTGCTACGGAGTTTAAAAAAGTAAAAGAGACTTTTGATTCTTGAGGTTTTAAATATATTACGTCAATATAAAACATTGTCTTTACATTCTCAGAACTTAAACGTTAAACATTTAATTAAAAATGATTGATTATACTACCATACTTATCATCCTATCACGTAAATAGTTGGAAAATGATACATTGGATAAGCCTAGAAAGCAACATAAATGCTTAATCACATGCATCTATATGATTGTTAAATCATATTACCAATGAAGTCAATATTTCCACTTCTAATACATTGTTGATTTATATATCTATATTTATTTATTTATTTGTTATTTTTAAGTTAAGATACTTTGAATATGTTATACAATTAGGTAATTATGCATATTAATTTAATATATGCTTTATTATCGTAGTTTTTATAACTAAAATAAAACATATACGTCTATAATGATATAAATAGAGCGAAGCAAATTTTAATTCATCCCACATTATTTAACTCTTTTTTTTAAGATTTTGCTTCGTTCCGCTTCATTTCATTGTCATTCCTATAAAGGTATAAAACATTCTTAATAATTTATTTTTTATGGTTTTGCCATTTCTATCAATTTCTATTTTAAAAAAATATTTACTTATTTATTCATTTATGTTATTTAATTTTCAAATAGAAAAAAACATAAAATAAAAAAGAAGACACTTTCAAAACCCTAATTAGTTTGTTCTTTATTCACTCTCCTAGTTTACTCTCTTCTATTTTCATTTTGAATTTTATTTTTAGGGTTTAAGAACATTTCTGATGGCTACGACGGCTACACCAGCGACGGCGGCGGCAACCAGTACGGCGACAACTTCTGAGAAGAAGAAACCGGTGTTTGTCAAAGTGGAAAGCCTCAAACCTGGAACACATGGTCATAACTTGACGGTTAAAGTTGTTGAATCGAACACTGTCAAGGCCATCGGCGGCGGCAGCCGTGGTGGCAGAGTATCGGCGTCGTTAAATTCTCGTGCTCCACCACGGATCTCCGAGTGCCTCATCGGTGATGAGACAGGGTGCATCCTCTTCACTGCTCGCAACGAACAGGGTATGTGTATACATATATATATATATATATATATATATATATATATATATATATATATATATATATATATTTGGAATTGTAGATTTGATAGGAAGTTTGTAATTGACACTTTTTGGTGGTGGCCAGCATGCCCTTAATGCTGAAGAATACAACCTTACCAGTTTCAAAAAAAACAAAAAAAATAAAAAATATATATTTGCATTTCTGCAATTTTTCTTTAGCCTTCAAAATTTTAGTGTTTTTTCTTGTTATTGAGGAAATGAAAGGGGAAAAAGATTAAAGATTAATTCTTTTGTGTTTCCCTTTTTATGTTGATTCAATTTTTGATTTTTTTTCTTTTGATGATCCAGTTTAGAGATAGATTGTTGTGTATTAGAATCGAACATGCTGAAATAGGGCGAAATTTATAGAGGATTTGTACAGCTAACTCTAAATAATCTAGGATTTTTGCTGAATTATTGCTATTATTGTGATGGAAAGTAGGCTGAAGTCTTCCTTTCATTTTTAAACTACGAGCCATAAATTGGGACGGAAAGGAGTATGCAATTGTGACTTATAAAGCTTGTGATGAGAATGATGGAAGATACATTTGCTAAGATGAAATGGAAAAAGAAAAGGAAACTCGTAAAATCAGACGTTTGTGCTGATGTAGCATTGAAGAACTTAGACAAATATGAATGTTCAGTTTGAATTTTCATGTTTGATAGAGTGGCCGTATTAAATGTTTTTGAAGTGTGAGTGTTACTTTTTTCTTTTATGTTCTGCTAAAGATAGATCACAAGTAGTCTTTGCTATGAAATTTTTTTACGAGTTCTGGTAGCTTGCTTATTTATTGGAATTCAGGGTTTTATTGTTCTGTGTGTAACTGCTAGTATCTCATGCTGCCGCTCACAAGGTTTAACTGCATTGTGCTTTGTAATAACTTGTTCATCTCATCTTGTTAGGAAATTATGAAGTTGGAAATTGTACCTGATGACCTAGACATTGACTATATTATAACCTCATTGTATATTCTAACTAGTTGTATTTTTATTTATTTCGTGGAGATTTGATTTGATGGCTTTATATATTCTGGTTGCTGGCAAACTATTTGATTTGTTTTCATGTTAGATTTTATCTTTTATAATTGTGGTGTCTGGGCAACTTATGCGCACCTCAACACATTTCAGGGGTACTTGCTACCCCCACACTGACACAAATATGGGTAACTTTGTCCACCAAGGTTTGGACATATGGAAAAAATCACCTAGTGTTTTTGCTTTTGTCGGGAATTGAACCTTATGGTTCTCAACATACTTCATTGACCAGTAGGTCACACCTTTGGTGTGTTTTCATGTTAGATTTCATAGACATATTATTGGCATGTTAGATTCATCGACGCGTTACAGGAATAGGAAGCTTTAGAGAAGTAACCCGTTATTTTTGTTTTTTTGTATGGGAGGCTTTCATAGACATATTATTGGCTTGTAATCTTCCTGGTGCCATCTTAGTGTCAGGTTTGTGATTTGTGCTACAACACTTATCAGTATAAAAAAATATGTGGTTTTGTTTTTGGCCAAATTCCTTAGAACACTTGTAATTGTGTTTTTGTGCAGAAAAGTCGGATAATGATTAGTGATATGCAATCAGAGAAAGGGGGGATGCCATTAGTGTTGTGTTTTGTTTAAGTCTGCTCTTTGAAACAGTTGTATTGTGATTCTGTGCCTTAAGACACAAAAGATGAGACTTGATAATCCAATCAAAGTAAAGGGTGATTCTATTGAGCGTTTTGTTTTGGAATACTTACTCCTTTCCTCTTATATGCAGTTGATTTAATGAAGCCAGGTGCTACTGTGATTCTGAGGAACGCGAAGATTGACATGTTCAAGGGTTCCATGCGGCTTGCAGTAGACAAATGGGGCCGCGTTGAGGTTACTGAACCTGCTGATATTGCTGTTAACGATCAAAACAACCTTTCTTTAGTGGAGTATGAGTTGGTGAATGTTGACGAGTAGAGGGAACTTATTAATAGCGCGGTAGTTTTAAGTCGTCGAGTCCAATTCTTGTTTTATTTGTTAATTATTGCATTCCTTGAATTCTATATGGAATTTTATGTGCCAGAATGACAGCATTTCAGCCCTTATAATATGTTCCCATACCATGGAAATGTCTGTCATTGTTTATTCTGTGGGTTTTGTTCTTATTTTTCTGTGTTGCATAAATTTTCAAATTTGCTTCTTTTTTAGTAAATAGAGAATGATGCAAATGATGTTATTCAAGTAGTTCCATCGTACCATGTGGATTATTAATTGTCGGAATCTTTCGAAAATAATTTTTCTATGGGTAAGTTGTTTTGTGTACACTATCTTTTCTAGATCATACTATGTGACAATACATTAGGTATGTTTGTTTGTTGTTGAATTTTTTGTATGTATTATTAGTTCATTAATTTTTTGGAATACGATCAACCGACTCTGTTTGATTATTAATTTGTGGGTCTGTTCGAAGTAATCTCGTATACACTACCCATTTTTTTGTGATCACAAAACAGAAACTCGCGACTATTTAAGCTTTTTATGTGCATTAATCCTTGTTCGTAATATGTCTAAATAACTATGTTAGACTTCAAATTTTATGAGTCCATTCTAAACAATCTTATGAATGATACTCGTTATTTCTCAAGGACTGAGATCTCTTTTTTTTTTTTTTTTTTTTTTGAGTTTACTTTTCACAAATTAGGAATCTAGAATTTTCTTATTTTTTCGAATATATTGATCCAAGAATCACAGATTTTGTTTGATCCCAAATTTGTGCATACATTGAAAACGACCGAGTGAAATATGACTCATGTCTCCGTTTGACCCAATATTCGTGACGACCTACTGAACAATATTCGTAATTTCTCAAGGACAGAAGGTCACAAGATAGAAATTCAAGATTATATAAAATTTTCATTGTATTAGTCCATAATTTTTTCAGAATGTATTGAGTTGTATAAACTTGTATGCCCTTCAACTTTGGACGTACACAAGTAGAAATGTATAAAATTGAACAAATAGACATACACATTCTCCGTGACATTCTATATGACAATTTGAGTCCTACATATTATATGCCACGTAAGACTCATCCGCCTTAGGCCCACAAACCGTTGGGCTGATCCAATTTCCCATCCAACTGCCCTGGGATGTTTCCAAATATTTAAAACCAAAGGCAATAAATATTTAAAGGCGATGTTATAGAAAAATCATATTGAAAAGCAAAACATAAGATCTCCATTACAATTTCAGTGATCAGTAGCTGTTAGCAATGATATACAAGTGGAAAACATTTCTTGCATTAGCTAAGTTCCTTCGTATAGTAAGATTTACACCTCTAGAGCTTGCAACTACCCAAGGTTAGTTATATACAAAAAAAATCATGCAACAATAGCCAGGATTCAATTCTCTTCTTTCAGCCATTAGTGTATAAAGGTATAGCCTCATTTGCCAACGTCCCCATGGCTCTATTAAATCTTCTAGTTAGAACTCATTTGTACATGACTAGTTATCATCTCTATACTCGGGATTCTCCTTCAATATGACAAAGCCTTCAAGAATGGGCGAGACTGGAATGTACCTGCATTTTAACAACAATATTCAGTAGACGGAAAATTGTGACTCAGAGACAAAAACAACAACTTATCATTCATACAAACATATAAAATACTTTTCTGTTGCAAGCTCCGCTCGTTCCCCAGCAGCAAGGAGAACTGGGGTCAAGTGTGTCTGAAAACCAGTAATCGTCTTCGGTCGACCAGCCTGACCTATAACATCAACAGCTTGCCCAACTCGAACAGCCACTGACAACGGGTTTAACTTCTCATCCACAGTCATAAGCATCCTTGGCTGCAAACACATGAACGATTAAACAGAAAAATAGGAGTTGTGCTAAAACCACAGCCAACCAAAAAGGCAAAAGGAGGAAGGGACAATAGTTAAAGAAACAGCAAACCTGCATCGCCAGTGTCAGAAAATAAAGCACATAGTGGTATTTCCCCAAGATAATGGACTTCATATCAAGACACATGTGGAGCATAATTATGAGTCCACCTAGTGCAGTCCTGGAACAGTTCAAAATTTAAGAGCCAACATATGAGGGTTCAAAGTTACAGAAGGAATCAAACAGGGGTAGCTCATGAAGCATCGGTTTAATTATACATGTCAATTTTCATTTTAGGTATAAGATAACAATGTGTTAAAAGGGGACAATGTAGACCTAAAATCCAGATAGGTGATATCTTGTTAGAGGACTTCTATCATTATTATTACTATTATTAATATTAAATTTTTAAAAAAAACTTATTTACATATTTTAAGTATTATAACTTTTATTTTTATTTGATGACATGAGTTGAGCTTTAATGGAATAGTGAGGATTCATTCAGCTGATCCCAGTTTGTTCAGGACTGAGACGTAGTGGTTTAAGATAACAAATCTGTCTGACACACTTCTAAAGAAACAGAATATAACAGATCTTTAGTGGCACTTCTCTGTTTATCTGCACTTGTTCACTTACAAAACAACCAACCTCATTCAAAAAAACAATTTTTTAACTAGGGAAGACGCATAAATCTCAACTCAAATTGTATGTTTAGTAAAATAAGCCTCTAATGGACTTGCATAATAGTTTGGAGAAGAATACTTTTCTATAGAAGAACTTACGGAGATAACAAAAATCGTTCAGAATGATATGGTGAGAGAGTTATCAAGCCCTTCCCTAAATGGACAAGACCTTGCGCAATCCGCACCTACAGAAGTAGCAGATGCCAATGATTAGAGTAAGCGGGTGAGTAAACACAAGGATATGGACTTGTCACAAGAGAATAACTGATAATTATTTTATTTCTTACACAGAAAAGAAGGTTGGCATCTCTGCAATGGTAATTGGACAGGTTACGCAGCATGCCAGCTATCCGAGCATTGTTGGTTCCTGCACCTAGCAATCCCAAGGAAATGATAGCAGCCTGTATAATTTGGAGAAGTTTTCAGATATAACAATCCAATAGCAGCACAAATAACTACACTCATCCAAAATACCATTGCTACTTCAATGTCTGAATCACGACTAAGCCTGCTCAGAGTGTCCATGACATTAACCTGTCCAAACCAGCCCGGGAAAAAAATATGTTACCAAGAGTTAAGCAGAAGTAAAGAGAAACAGGCCTGCCACAACTTGTCAATAGAAAAAGTAAAACCAGAACATCAACACAGAAAAAAGTGAGGGAAAGAAAAAAAAAAATAGAAAAAGAAATCTGTTGTATAGATATTTCAAGATATCATACCTTTGGATTTGATATACAGAGGAGGCCAAGAGCCAATGGAACTGCTCTTCTGATATTTTGATCCCCATACTGCAAAAGATGTTCTAGTGAGCGTATTGTCATCTCAATCCCCAACTCTTCAGACATTGCAACCATCGCAATACCAAGGACAGCTGGTCCCTGAAAGCTTTCACCTTTTACAAGATGTTGACCACATTGACCAAGAAAGTGTTGGACCTAGAGAAGAATAACAGTCAGCAATTGCAATTATGAATCACTTAGAAGTGGAAGGCGGGAAACTTCTAGCACCTTGAGTACATTGCCTGTCCCAGCATAGGCACAAGAATGGAGGATCATATCGCAATGCTTTCTGATCTTCTTATGGAGAGTAGTCTTCAAAAGGTCAGCTATAGCCTCAACGTCGTCCTATAGGACATGACAGAGGGATACCAAATCAAAATAAGAAGTTATGCAATCCAACAATGTTGAACATATATTCATATCATGAATATCTAGGCCATATTGATATAAATGATAATCTGCACATGTTACAAGAAGTGCAGTTAATTCAGATATTCTTCGGCCTCTTAGAAACTGAGGCATGTAACTTCTTCAGTTACCTGTTTCCCAAGGAATACAAGACCAAGAGCCAGTGGCAAAAGACGAGCAAGGGGCTCTCCCAATTCTCCCTCACTTCGGTCCGTCAATGCATATATGATTTCCTGGGCAATCTCATGGTGACATGAACCCACGTACACCAAGCCCAAAGATATTGCAGTGAATGCAATTACATCAAGGGACACCTTATTATCTTCAAGTATGTGAATCAATATGCTACTGATCTGAAAAACAGCAAGCACTCAATGTAACATTGTACATATCCAGACCAATCTTATAGTGTCTCAAAAAAAGGTAAAACTTTGTAAACTAAGGATGAACTTAACGACAGGGCAGAAAGTTTTATTCCTGTCTAACCAAACCCAAAAGAAGAATAGGAACATTACCTCTTCATTCCGAGCACCTGCATAAGAAAGACCCAGACCCATTATAGCACCTATTCTGATTGAAGGATCATCTTTGCGAACATAATCAGAAAGAAGTGCCAATGCCTGCACAGAGAAAGGAGTGAAATATCAGGATATGAAGATCTATGGAGAGAATTGGTAGACATCAGATAAACATTAGATGAAGCTCACTGGTTCAAGATCATTCTTGATGCCACAGTTTACAATCCCAACTCCTAATAGTGCACCAGCAATTACATGGGTGTCAGTACTATGGAGATATTTGTCAAGTTGTGCAAGCCCAGAATCGACATCCCAAAGCAGGATCATTCCCTAAATTCGCGAAAGAACAATCACTAGCTGCAGATAGGCACTCAACAAGGAGAGTCGAAAGAGTTAGTAGAACTATATACCAAACTTGCTGCAGCACTAGCCTTCCCATGTTCTTTATTTTTGAAAAGCCAGCTTGTAGAGGAACCACCATTTGTGGCCTCTGATGGTACTGTCATCAACTTATCCTGCAGCAGAGAAGTACCAAGAGTTGTTCATGGATACTGATATATAACAAGCTAAACAAAATACTGACATATATCTATATGTGCACACCTGTGTATGAAAAATACAATTTGATTCATTTTACCTGGCCAAAACCAGCATTGACAAATGCATTGACGAATGTAGCAGCCAAATTTTGTGTAGCCGAATTGACACTTTGCTCCCCACTAGCTCGGCCATCAAGCAAATGTCGCTAACAAATCGAAATAAAATCTGATTTAGTTTCAATTACACTAAGCTTTTCTTTGTGATAATGACTAAGAAACACAAGGTAAATTTCTGCAGATGAAATGTTTTTAGCAATGACAGAGTATCCAAAACA